TCATCTTTGCGGAGCCAGTGAAGGTAATATGACAGAATGCCAGTTTCCTTTTAAGTGTGAAGAAGAGATTTTTTTCCTCCGTGTTAATCTTTTCTTTAAATTAGGGATGAAACTAAATTAGATAAGTGGACTCCTGCCATGCTAGAAAATTGGAAAGAATGGCTTGAGGAGCGGTGGACTTTGGATGACTTGCCACCTACCCCCCCCTCACCCCCCCATCAGATGATCTGGAGAATATATTTTGAGAGTGCTTCTTTTCTTCCTGCCCCTGCAATTCCTGGTGGAATGAGTTTTAACCTGGTGGAGCTGGGCACCTGGCATCCAGCTGTTTAGTGGTTATGATTGTTTACGCTGTGAGCTTTCTTTTCCTATGCATTTCACTCTAAGCCTTCTTGACCTCGTTGGAAAGAATAATAAATGGCTCTTTGCAACTACAGCTGTGTACACTTGGAGGTGCCTGGGAACGGTAGTGGTTGAGAAGCTGAAGGGTAACCCAAAGGAACTGGGTCTTCTCAAAGGCCCTGGGGGTATGGATGCAAGCGTGGGCTTATCTTTTCCTTCCTTTTTCGAAATCTCCATTGGAGAGAGACTGGTTTGATTACCAAAGGAGGCCAGGCCTTGGGGGCAGGGAACAATCTGAAACCTAACTCAGCGCAGTGCTAGACTGGTTAAGAGCATTCCCAGCCATGGGAGTGGGGAGGAAGAAGTGGCGACTCGAGGGGATGAGGGCCATCCCAGCTTCCAGAGAGGTAGTAAAGGAGCCCTTGAATCCCAACTGGGAAGTGGGAAAGGGGTTGGGCTACAGCAAGGGAGTAGTGGAGCTTCAAGGCAAATTCTGGAATGTGCCCTAGGTGTGACCTCCCTTCTCCCCTTTCCCTCAGAGTGTTCCTAGCCCTTTTGAGTCTAGTGCAGCTCTCTCCTCCCCTGGTGCTCTAAAAGAGGCCCACCCAGTGTTTATGTGTCTCCCTCCAAGCTGGCCTTCCAAGTAGGAGAGGAAACTGAACAGGTTTCATAAGAAACCTCCGGACCTCCATGTCTCCCCGCCCCCTTCTTCTCAGATCAGTGTCCCATATCCTACACATTAAGGCTCCATTTAGCTTTGATATCTCTTGGATGGTTAAAAAGTAGGGTAGTCATTTTGGCAGAAAGAAGTAAACTGAACAGTGTATGGGAAGATACAGAAAACTCGTTGGTTTTTTTTTCTTTTTTTTTTTCTGCGGAGGAAGATAATGAATTAATTGGGTGAGAATTGTGGGCAGTTGGACAAGGCAGGGCAGGAGAGGGTGGCGGAACTGTGCCGGACAGCTTGTGCCCTCGTCCTTGAGAGAGAAAAGGATGCCGCCACACACGTGGAGCCACCTTGCTGTGCTCTCCCTCCTTCCATTTGCCTTGTGAGGGGAAGAAGATAGCAGTATGGAGGTGGAGAAACCATCTGCTCTCAAGGATGAGAACGAGACTCTAACTCACCATTTGAGATGAGCTGTATTCACCTGGCATTGCTATCAGGCGCTGAACGTGTGACACCCGAGGACGCGTTACATCAGGAAAGCAGGGTCATTTTGTAGGAAAATCTAAGGTATCGAGAGTGACTTTGGTGGTGTTTTTTTCTTGCTGGAGATGAAAGGTAGCACGCAAAGAAATGGAGTCCTGCTGCTCTGAGGTTTGTTATTCATAGGGAGGCAGTTGGATGTTCTGCAAGCAGATCCCAGACCTGAAAAGAAGGCAGGAATAGCAAAGGAATTTTTTTTTTTTTGCTCAGAACATCAGAACATTGGTTGGTTCAAGGAGAAGGCAATCCTGTGGCTACATGAGAAGGAGCTTGTGAATCACTGTAAAAGGCCAAGGTTTGTGAAAACAGCGGGCAAAGAAGACAGCTGGAAGTGAGTCCAGTCTTTAGCGTGAGGAAGAGAGTTGTGGAGCAGGGGCACGGATAGCAAGGGGGAGTCTGACTAGAGGGCCAAAGGCTTGTCACCAGCAGTGTTTCAAACATTTTTGGATTACGACATGGTACAGAACAAGTTTTGCACTGCGGCCCAGGACAGAAGTCAGTATGTGTGAGTCTGCGGCCGGTTTCATGAAACAATAGGCACGCTTTTGTGCGCCGCATTCTGGTTTCTGTTCCTCCTCAGTGTTCTGAATAACTCACCTGCGAGTGGATCAGAGTCCACTGTTAGGAAACCATTTGCCTAACGGATGCATAAGCAGGTTGCATTTGGGTTGGAGATGCTGGAGGAGGTGGAGGGGAGCGTGGAGTTGACTGGGAAATCTGGACAGCTGTCGGTGGGGACAGGTGGGGGTGTGGGAGCTCATATGGTGTGCTCGTGCATGCAGGACTCACAGTAGGGAAGGCAGCTGGATGGACAGGTGCAAAAGGGGCCTTCCTACCAATTGTGTCCACTTCAGAGTAAAATGGTTTTGAGGGAGAAGGAAGCGTGGAAGGAGTAAACTTGGATTTGAAAACCGTGTCGTTAGAGCAGATTTTTCTCTGTAGGTGAAGAGGACAAATGGATCCCGAATAAATTGGCTGGTGGGTTTAGGTCACGTCCACTTTCATCAGCTGGGTAGGGAGCAGAGGGGTTCATAGTGCAGAGTATAGGCTCATAACGTCCCTTGCCGTTTTGAGAAGTTCTTATAGAAGACGTGGTTGGACTGTGTTGTTTCAAAAACCCCATGTGCTGACCAAACTCATTAGGTTATTAGCTGCTTGCCTCAGTGAGAAAGGGAAAAATATCCTCATCACCTTGTGTAAAAGGGTTAGATTATCAAAGGTTTCTTAGACCTCTAGTTCGAGATCTACAATCAAACTGGAACCATCAATCATAGGCTTTGGGATTGCGGAAAAACCTTCCTGGAGAAATAGGTGAGGCAGCATGCATCGTCCTTGAGCGGTTTTCCAATATCTGTGGCCTGGAGTTAATGAAGGGCAAAGTTTATCTGCATGCCTTTGATTGCCTTTCCTAACAATTAACACCTGACTCCTACCCCTGACACCATCGCCAGTGGGCAAGTACAACCGAGCACAGAAGAACGTACATGGGGGTCAGGGTTCACTCTGGTTGCCTCCTTCGTTGCTTGTTTTAATCATCCGTAGTCTGACCTAGATGGAGCCTCCCTTTGACTCATCTTTGCTTTGTTTGATTTTCTTAACCTCAGTTGATGTGTTTTCTTTCAGCATGTGGCTTTACTTCTCAGCTGTCTGCTATGTATGTCTAATGCTCTCTGACGTTACCTCTGAGCTCTGGCCTTAACAGGTGTCCACCTGACTATTCCCATAGAGTCCCGTGTTTGGATCCCGGCCTGTGCTATGTTGGTCACCACCGTATCCTGCCATGGCCACCCTAGAGATAACTGTACATCGATGGGTTTATACATTGGTTTTGATTTATTTAATTTTTAAGTTTTGGGGGCATGGAGAATCTATCTTGGTCAAGGTAATTTAAGTACCTTCTCCAAATAGGCTTAGAAATACCTTTCAAAATTATATTTTGAAGACCTAGAAAACTTCTATTTGGTATATATTTACTTGGTGCAATGGGGAAGAAGGAATTTTCATTCGGGGAAAATTTTAGAACAATTAACCCCCCCTACCTCTTTTACAGAGTGTTAACATTTTAGGGACCTAATTTCCCAACCTAGTCCTGCTCAGTTAACACATTTTGCTCTAATATGTACAAAAAACATTGGGACAATTAAGAATTTAAATGTTTTCTGATTTGTTGCCTGCTATTTTAACAACTTGTAAAGACTGCAGCTGTATTCTGATTGAGAAAGATTCATTACCTTTTCATATTTTGAAAACCTGTATGAATGTCACTAAACAGACCAATTTCCTACCCACTTAGTGGAGGAGTCCAGGGCGGGATAAAGGCTGTAAGGGTGGGAGACCAAGTCGCCCACCTTGAGGGCCTGGCTGCCTGGACCAAAGGCAGCCTGTTGGGAGCACCCAGCTTAGCATCCCCAACCAAACCTTTGAGGCATTTGGGATCTTGAGGATTGGAGGCTGCTTTGTAACCTCAAGTCACTAAATGTTTTCTGCACTGTTCTTTATTTTTAAAAGACAAAAGTGGAACTTGCTCGTTTTAAAAAAACATAAAAACCATTAAAACAACCAATACTGAAGAGAATGACAGTTCACATTTTCCACTTTCTCCAGCTGCTGTCTCCCCTGGTTTCACTCCCAAACACAGCCAGGTAGCAGTTGGAAGGCATAGCCCTTCTTCTCTACAAATGCCAAAATAACCCAGTTAGGTATTTGTGAAAAATGTATTATTTCATAGCCTGCTTCCCCCCGCCCCACTCCATAGTGTGTGATGGGTAGATGCCCTTCTGTATCGTCTTGCTCATTTGAATGTCTGTATAACCTGTGATAGTGTGGCTGCACCAATATAATCATTTCCCTATCACTGCACCTGAGGGTTGCTTCTAATGCTGTAGTAAACACCCTTGTACGTGCATCCTTTGACACATACGTGCTTTGGCTTTGAAGATAAAAGATAAAATCATGAGTATACTGCTTGCTTTATAATCTAGTTAACACAGATTTAATCTCAGAAGTTACCTATTCTACCATTTAGTTCCCTGAGCATTCAGCAGTAAAGGTACAGTGCTAGACCTGTAGTGGGGCAGTGACAGCCCTTGCTTCCAAGAGCTCCCCATCTGGAGTAGGGGGGCTAGGCATACACACCGATTATAATACCTTTAGTTTGATTTATACCCTACCTTGTTCCAAAAGTGACCTGGGATGACTTACAAAGATCCGTATAACGTGACAGGATACAGTGAGTTTAGGATGAGAAAGAAAAATAAGCCAAAAGAAAGTAAGATGGAGTTAAGAGCGAGGTTGGTAAGCATACCTTCAGGTTCTGGCTTTCCAGCAGCCTAAGAGAAGAGGCAGACGGCCTACAATAAGATTTAAGGTGTCAAGAACCGAAACCAAATAGGAGAAATCCATCTCTTCCCGATCCTAGTGGGTGAGAGAAACTTCCCCTTTGGATTTTCAGCAAGAAAACACTGCATTTGCGGAGGCCAGCATTCTCATCAACATCCCCAGTAAAACCTACTGACCTTGCTTCAAGATGCCATTTCACGCCGTGTTCCTCTGTGCCGGCCAAGAGCAACATGCCTGGGGACTCCTCCGTAAAAGTATTAGGGTGAGGGGTAAGTTCATGGGTTTAATCCAGAGAGCTTTAAGAGTACGAATGAAAACGGCCATCTGGGATTATTCTTAGACAATGTTTTCTACAAGGTAGTACGGGATATATAATTTCAGTGGAATTTCTGTGAGTAGAACCCACTTGCCTAAGATTACTAGGCTTGCAACTCACACAGCAAGAAGTGAGGATGTTTGTTTATTTATTGTTAAAGGTTTTGTTTCAAGTCCATTTGATGTACAGTATAATATTCATTTCAGGTATACAGTTCAGTGACTCAGCACTTCCGTACCTCCCCGGGTACTCATCACAAGTGCGCTCCTCTGTCCCTATCACCTGGTTAACTCCTGCCCCTCACCCACCTCCAAGAAGTGAGGATCATGTTTAAATGGCATTGATGTATTGGAACTGTAACAATGAGCATAATATTTTCCTCTTAAAAACACACCCGCACAAGCCTGCAGTTGGTCCATGCAGGAAGGATGGCACGAGGAGCTCCACGAGTGAGAAAGGCTCAGAGCCACCATTCCAAGAAATCTTGGGAGCTTGCAGTTATTACTGGGAGGCAGCACGGGAGAGTGTCAGCAAGACTCCGAGGTCTACAGGTCAGGGCAGTGTGACGCTGTCTTTGTGAGGCTCTCCTGACCCTGCTGGGTCTGTGTTTCCATGACCACACTCACTTACGTCTTGCTTCAGAGCATTGTCCCAGGATAGTTCTTTCTTACCAAGTCTATTGATCAAGCTGAGGTACTTTAATAGGACTTACCCTGAGTTTAAACGTGAGGTTTGTATGTTTGTCAGTGTTAACCTTGAGGTCACCCGGAGCTACACGTGATTGATTTGTGCAGCACCTCTTAGCCTGTGAAGTAGTTCAGGGAACTGTGTCCCTGTGTTCAGATTTTTCTTTGGCTGCCTGATTGTCAAAGTGGATATTGAATCAGGCTGTTAAGTACCACGTATGTTGGGAAACCGTGCACTTAGCAAAAGCAATCTTTGGGAAGAGGTCAGAAGAGAAACCGCTCTCAAAGTACATTGGTTGGCCCGTAAAGACCAGCATGAAAGTTCACCTAGAGAATTTAGAAACTCCTTGGCTGTTCTCACTTAAGCGGCTATATCCCCCAATCAGATTAGAGGTGAATACAAGCTGCCAGGGCTCTAGGCCAAGGGGAAAGAAGGAGAGGGAAATGATCCCATTGCTTCAGATCCCAAATATCTGTCGCTCTGTGACTTGGTAACATTTGACAGATGGGTGTAACATTCCTTGGTTAGGAAAAGGTGGTGATAATAAGTGCTATCCTTTATTGAGTGGTGGTTAGGTGTATTCGTGAATAAGCACCCCAAACCTAGCAGCGTACAACAATGATTTCTTATCTGTCCCGATTCTGTGGGGGGCCTGGCAGTTACCCAGCTGCTTACAGACTCATTCATAGGGCTGGGTGCAGCCGGAGGGTCCGCTGGGCTGGAAGATGGAAGCGAGCTTTCTAGCGTGGCTGGGAGTTGGTATGGAGGGTTGTCCGTCAGCTGGGTGTCTCAGTTCTCCAGGTGGCCTCACGCTCCAGTAGACTAGATCCGTGTCTTTTTTTAGTTATTAAATTGATTTTTATTTATTTTTGAGATAGAGATGGAGCACGAGTCGGGGAGGGGCAGAGAGTGAGGGAGACACAGAATCTGAAACAGTCTCCAGGCTCTGAACCTACAAACTGTGAGATCATGACCTGAGCTGAAGCCAGACGCTTAACCAACTGAGCCACCCAGGGACCCCTAGACCGGCGTCTTTACATGGCAGGTTTAGGGCAATGCCCAAGAGAGCAAAAGGCAGATGCTGCAAGGTTTTTTGAGGTCTGCCTTGGCTCCAGAGCCCTCACAGCCTCTCTTCTACCAACTGTTTGTCAGCAGGTGACAAGGCCAGCCCAGATTCATGGGGGCAGAGACCTAGCCTCCACCTCTCGGTGACAGGAATGGCCATGTCACACTCCCTAGGAATTATCACAAGTGGCTACGTGTGCTAAGCACTGTGCCAGGTGCATTTGATCTTGCAATGTAGGCGTCTTAGTCCCTTTCATCAGACGTACAAGTCTGATGAACCAAGAGGATTCGATTCTAGGTCCCTCTCTAGTTGAATGAAATGCATTTTAGACTCAACAGTTGGGAGAGATTTGCTCAGTTGTTCTTCAGCTCCCCTAACCCAGTTAATATTGTCTCTGGTTCCTGTGTAGAGCAGGCAAACAGAGAGACCTAGAAGGCAGGCAGGCTTTGTCCCACCTCAGCCACTTCCCCGCTTCCCAGGGACTCTCTCAGAGGTAATTGGATCAACAACCTGAAGGTGAGATAGTCCCTCTCTCCTTAGGTTCGGACTTCCCAGCTTCCTTTAGAAAAAGAACAGAACGTATTTGAAAATCCTTGCCCTGTCCAGCTTTTTCCTTGATTTCACAGTGTGGGCAGAAAGCCAAGACATATCCCAAGCCAAGAGGCTCCCTTCCAGGAAGGAAGTTCCGGAACACCGGGAGTTGGGTAGAAGTTCGCTGCATTGCTCTTCCTAAGTCCTCAGGAGACACGACGCCACCTGCTGAGAACACGCTAACCTCTTCTAAGGCTTGGAGGGTGTGTTGTATTTTCAATGTTGATTTCCTTAAAGACGAGCCCTCAAATTGTACACAGTCAACCCCTTATTGTTTGTATGATCTTCCAATTACTGTTGTCTCCAGGTTTAAGTCATCCTGGCTTAACCAAAATCTAATGGCTGCCGTTGGAGCTCTTAGGTTTGAAAAACAAAAACTTCACATTTACCAAGTAAATAAAATGTGCCATCTGTACTTTCAGGCGTAAGGCCCTAGAAAATGAACTGAATTTCTAAGGGGAGAATTCTACAGTGGATTGGGGGCTGGGAACCAGCTTAGGAGAAGAGAAAGCTGAAGAAGGTGGCCTTTTCCCCCACTGTCACTCCCTTACACTTCTTGTTAGGCATTATAAAAACAAATCCCATATCAGAGACTTGGTGTAAAATGAAATTTAAAAAATGTAAATAATACAAAAACTTTAGAAGTTGACACAACATAGATTAACTGTATTAGATTTCATTTTGTTTTTAAGTTAGTAGCCAGAACATGTAAAAAGTGTAAATGAACATAAATTAGGAAAATAAGAATAAATGTTCCATTAAAATCCTAATTGAAAATACCCATAATAGGGGCACCTGGATGGCTCAGTCGGTTAAGCTTCTGACTCTCTTTTTTTTTTTTTTTTAATGTTTTATTTATTTTTGAGAGAGCGATAGAGACAGCATGAGCAGAGGAGGGCCAGAGAGAGAGAGGGAGATACAGAATCTGAAGACCAGCTCCAGGCTCTGAGCTAGCTGTCAGCACAAGCTTCTGACTCTTGATCTTAGCTTAGGTCTTGATCTCAAGGCTGTGAGTTCAAGCCCTGAATTGGGCTCTGCACTGGGCATTAAGCTTCCTTAAAAAAACAAAACAAAACAAAACAAAACTGTAAGAGAAGGGAGACCTGATCAAGTACTGTGGGAAACAGGAGGGAAATTATTTCTTGAAAAAGCAGGAATTCTCAGGGAGGGGTTAAGGAGATGAGATAACCGCCCATCCTAGCTGTGGCAAAATGTCTTGGTGGGGACTCTGGGCTGAGTGAAAAACTTTAAAAGTTTAACAATAACCAAACTTTAAAAAGAAGACTACAGAATCTTCTTGACTGGTTTGAATAAGAACACCTACAGAGAATGTACTGTATGAGCACATGTGAGAGGGGCAGGGAGAAGCTCTGGGATATGAAAATTTGAAAACCACAAGAAGGATCAGAGAAAGATCTAGAAGGTATTTAGCAGAAGGAGACAGATAAAAGGGAAATCTTGTACAAAAGAGATTTGTAGCAATAGGAATTAGCTATTTATTACAACAATTCTCCGAGTTGTAACAAGATGGGGCCACCCCACAGCCCCTGAGTGTGGGGGTCTCTTATGGAGCCAGTTTGGGGAACAGAATTTTAGCCTCCCTCCTGCTCGTAATCCTGTTATTGAATAGGATGGTAGGGAAAATAAAGGCCAGTTAGAAAAATATGAATATTTAACTTTAAATATTTAAATTTTTGTTATCATTAAAACAATCTATAATCCAAAAATTATTTCAGGGAGGTATCCATTGTCAGGGTGTATAGCAGGGAGAACTGAACAATTTCTCTTTAATTTGAATTCTGTTATATGCTCTTGGAAGAAAACGGATTGAAAGAATGGGGAAAATATACAGGATACTCTTATTCAATGTTTAGTATTGTAAGTGATGGCGGGGAACCATAGAGAGTTCTTTTCTTATCCTCATGAACAGTTCCCTGGTTCCCTGGTTAAGCAACATCATATATCTGAGAAAGGGAGTGTAATTTAATCATATTAATATAGGGTTCCTTAAGTCCTTTCTGGTTTAGTCTTCACTTTCTTCCCATTGCTGTTCTGTTTAAAAGGCAGTACCACGAATATTGGAGGATTTATGGAAGTTAGGTTGTTTTTGTTTTTGTTTTTGTTTTAATGTAGCTGACTTTTGGCAGACTTTCACACTAATGCTAATGGTACTTAAACTTGATGCTCAGAAAATGAGAGGAGGTGGAATGTTCCGCACATAGTTTTCCTAACTTTGTTTCATACAGCTTTCAATGCAGAGTTAAAACAACAGTAATGACATTAAAAAACAAAAAGCGAAACTGTAGTTAGTTGAGAGCTTTGTACATATTTGATTAGATGTTAATTTTTACAAGAATAAAAAGACAAAAGTGGGTAGTGTGACAGTTATTCTTTACCAAGTGTGGGATGTTATTGTCTCTGTTAATTACCAACATTTCATGAGCATTTAGACAGATAATCATTTACCCATGTGTAAATGCAAACAGAAACCAGAATGGATGGGTGAGGTGCAGGTATGGCTTTTGCAAAAGGGTTTTTGTTTAGTTTGGTAAACGTCTCATCTTCTGTAGTCATGTGTTCATTTATAAATGGTTTATAGTTTGCAAGTA